ATGTAGCCATTTTCCCATGTAATACTTTACCGGGTTTGAAGACAAACCGCATTAAATACCGCGACCCGGCTCGGAGAAGGAACAGGGCCGTTATTGGTCAGTAAGAGTCACGTCATTCAGGGCGGGAGAAGCTATTGGGTGATTTTCCTCTCGGAAAAAATAGTAAATTCGTACTAAGCTAAGGTGTACGGATAGCTGAATAATGGCCAAAATAATAACCATCTCAATCCAAATAGTGAAACGCCAAGATCGTAACAAAATCTCGGTTTATGACAAAACTCAATCGGCCTTATTACAAAAGTATTTTTTTCTTTAGTCTACGATTAAACCATTGAGCCAGTTTTTGTATTTCAAATTGAAGGTAGGTGAGAATAAGATTCGAAATACAAAACGTGTCTCGATGGTTTCAACCTAGACTTAACATTAATCTTGTTTTGTGAGAAGGGGGGTTTAGGACTACCGTCAAACATTGGCTCAACCAACATTCCCAAGAGGATACCGAAGACCTCTGTGACGTCATCGCCTCGTCCCTCGTCGCGTGTTCATCACTCAAAAATGTAAGAGGACACCGATCTCCCCTCTCTCACACTCTTTTATACATATAGACCACTAGCTACTCTCGCGCCGTTTCACTCGCTGCTCTGTTCCTACAGTTCGTAGCGTGATGTTTTATAGCCTAAAGCCTTCCTCTACTCGACTGGACTAACGAACAAAAAAATAATTGCTCAATTTGAACCAAAGTTCCGGAGATTAGCGCGTTCAAATAAATTCTTGAGCTTTAAATTAAGTAGAGAATTCCGATGCACATTACACAGATCTCTCTAATTAATTAGCAAATTTTAAACTTCCCTTCTAAAGAGGAGGCTTTTGTTAAGTTTTTTTTTAATTTTCATTTATGAGAAGCTTTTCCTGACCTTAGAAAAAGTGGCATAAAAATAGTTATGAAAATCGGTCAAGCCGTTCGCGCATAATACCATAATGAAAGCAAAGTGGTGTTCATTTTTAACAGACTTCCAAATACGAGCAGATTTCTCAATTCGACCATATTAAATGTTTTTATATTTATTTAGACGAACATCCAAGAATGGCCCGGAGGTTAAGGCGCCCGCTTCTCATGCGTAAGGGTGTGGTTTCGAAACCTGGCAAGTACCTACCAATATGATTTTTCCGAGTTATATGTACTTTCTATGATTATTTAGACACCACTAAGATATGGTGAAGGAAAACATTATGAGGAAACCTGCACTTATAATTTATAAGTTTGAAATCGCCAACCCGCATTGAGCAAGCGTGGCGATTGCCTTTGCCCAGCAGTAGGCATATATAGGGTGATGTTGTTGTATAGTAAAAGTAAAGGGTGTTTATTAGTCGCAAAAGCACGTTTTTTTTTTGTCTGCTAATAAAAAGGACAAAGATATAGTCTACTGTATTCTTTTGGACGCTCAGACAAAGCTTAGTCCCGTTTTCCCTTATTTACGCATGGAGTATCAATAAAAATAGTTTCTAGTAAATCTCCAAACAATTAGCATACTTATAGACGTTTATATAAAGACTACAATTGCATGTAAACTTGATTTCTTTGTTATTAAAATGTTCTGAATATCCTGTTCTTTGATTGTTACCCCTTTATTGGAGTAATTCTTTTGTATAATAGTTTTGTTGCATCTGTCTCAGATCCAGATGTTTTTGCGGTTTGGAACGGACTGAAGATTCGAGGTCCCAAACTATAATTCGGCCGCGGAATGGACTCCTGACGAGCGCTTATCAAAAATTACTGAATATTGATTTGAATAACATTGTAATCCCGATTTAATTTTGTCTTCCGTAGCTTTAAAGACATCAAAATGTTTAGTGTAAAGTGACAAAGAAAAGCACTTTGCAGTAAACTTAAATAATTTGAGTGTATAAGATCGACTTGCAACCAACCAGAAACTGCTACAATCGGCTGAAAGCATAAAAAAATGCATCCCATTAAACATCGGCGACCAGGTCCACATACATAGGCAGAGCATAGCTAAAAATATACACGGGAAATAGTGACCCAAATACATTACAAAAAAGTCTATTTTCCAAGAATATTAAAATGAAAAAATCTTCCTGTCTTCACCAGTCCGATGACATCAACTGCTAGATGCATACCATTATATTTTCTTACCGTCTTCTAGTACTGTCAGCGCGGTGTAAACAGACTAATGTCTACGCGCAACGTACTACAAGAAGCGTTAAGAATCTTTACGTTACGTCACAAACAGCTCTGAATTTCCAGAACTGTAAAATGTTGGAAACGTTACGACATCGGGGCTACGTTTTCTCAATCTATTTTAGACCGTGTTGACAGATACGTAAACTATTAAATTGAAAATAAGCGTGAACACGCTCTGGTGTTGAAAATGTAACCCCGATTTCGCGGCTTTGTTCTTATCCTATTGTTAAAAATAATGTCGTCATTCAAGAAAGAAGTAGATACGCACGGTTACGCGACGCGGGTGGTGTATTGAAAATCAATAAATCGTAAGCGAGAAACTAGGTCACCTCATTAAAAAAATAGAACGCAGCCACGTGCCGCGGAAGTTACTACACAAAGGGATTACGAAATTCATCCTTCAACGACGACATTATCACGTAAAAAAAATACTCAATACATTAAAAAAAAAACGTTTTCACATAAAAATACCGCGTAATTCGAACTCAAATATAAGAAAACATCGACAAAAATAAAATCAAACAAAGGAGGTTGGTAACCAAAAAAAAAAAACAAAGAAAAATCTTCGATAAAAAAATCTTCCAGCCAGTATTTTCTCTCTTCCACGACGATAAAACGCAAATCTCACCCACCATTCGACAAGACTGAAGCGATAAGCAGCGCCAGTCGAGACGAAGGATGGACGAGACGGGCGTATTTCAAAAATAATCTTCATCTTCTTTCTTCAGGATCCCCACAAAATCATACACAAGAACGCCACTAAAGAATAGTAAAAATTAAGTATAATATTTAACACGATATTTAAAAAATAGTAGTAATATTGTATCACAGGAATATATTTGTTGGTGATATTAAGCCGGAGCGGGTCGCGCGGAGCCCGCGGTGCGTCTCTGGGTGAGATCGGTACAGCACTGCTAACAGGTTGGTTGCAAGTCGATCGCACCACTCCGATTTTTATGTGGCGCTCGGGTCGTGACCCAGTTTACGGCACTCACTACGCCCCGGGAGCGCCGCGCAATGCTTCGCAACATCGCAACCCCATTGCATGAATATTATTCACGTTCCTACTGTGTAAGCATGAAAATCGTTACTTTTGTTACATACAACAGCTGTTGTGTGCGCTAAAAATAGTAATTACGACGGCATTATACAAATAAAGAATGTTTCCCTGACCAGAATTACTTTATCTACTATAATAAAACTGTCAAACATGTTTCTTTCATACATTTAAGGCTTTGTTTCTGTGTGTCAGAATTAAAATAGAATTTATTACATTTCTAACTTGGTGAAACGGGCTAACAATTCTGTCCTTCGAGGTAATTTGTTTACTAAATTATGACGTCACCACTTAGTATCGCATGCGTAAAACACGACCGTAGTAACAATCCCTTTATCTATTTTGCCTCAAAATTGAATAGACAAAGAAAACCTTTCTAGAACACAAAAGAAATATGACTCAATGTAATTATTATAAAGATTCGCATTGCAAATAAAATACAAATGGCTATACTTTTTATGACTAGGTAGGTGACGTCACAGCTTTGTGAAATCGTGTACCTACTATACTTTTTTTTATTTTTCATTTCAGAGAATGAGTGCAGATGTGTTTTAATAAAAACTTAAATACCTAGTTATTTTTTTATCAACTGAAAGCTGAATAAAATGTTTTTAGATTGAAAAAACAGTCTTAGCCTCTTGTTTAACAAAAATGTTGACTGTTTTACTATCCCATATAATCAAGTCACCCTGTATATAAACCTCGACATTGTAAAGTTTTAAAAGGTATAACGACCTCCTTTTAGCAATAAAACCTTCGTAAACCTACCTTTTTCAAATTGTTCTAGAACGTCTATCGTCGAAGTCTATGATATCGATCAATCATACACGAGCGAACGTCATTTATTATTAAAAAGAATTATACTGCAGTCTACCGGGGTGCATGAAAATATAATGCTACTGTAATGCGCATTGGACTACCTTTTGTTTCTTATTGAGACGTTGCTATAAAATAAAATGGCGCTTATTCGCCGAAGAGGCGGGCAATTCCCCGAAGATGGTATATTAAATGACACAGCATTTTTACCAAGGTGCCGTATATAAGGCACCAATCCCAACTCTAATATTAAAGATGAGAATTTTAAAAAACAGAAGTGTCAATAATAGTATGAAATTAAGTCAGTTTCCGTGCTGTACTCGGTAGACATTTACCTAGTACATATTACTCAAATTCATCATGTAACTTAATTGAATTCGCTGCATAAAATTATCCTACCGCTCTGAAGTTAGCAGCGATGAGTGAGTGAAACGAAATTACGCGGGAATAGTAACGTGTGGGCGGAACGGTGATACTGGATTGCAAATTGCAATCTACTTCAAGGTACAGGTTAATTAACTGTTGACTAGTTCTTTTATTACAATGTAAATTATAGTGAAAAATCTTCCCTAGCATAAAAACAGTAATTGAATTGAGTATTCTTATTTTGACAATGCAACTATTTATCTGAATAAATAAAAGTGTAACAAAAATAGCTTGGTTTGCAAGAAATACACTGAAAAATACTCTTAGCTATTATTATGAAAAAATCATTGAATTTTAACATTCTCCAGTACGTTCCGAACATACAAACTCCTGAAACAGTCGTATGAAGGTCGATCACTTCTTAACAGTAGCCGGCGTGATAAGAAAGCTTGTATTGTGTGCAGCCAGTAAGAAGCACTAAAAAACTCCTCTGGCATTGCTTTCAATGGCGTCAATAGCTACCATCAGCTGACCAAGATATAAAAAAAGACCACTAACCTGGCTAGTATTGCTGTCAAAGACTGCATCGTAAGCGTAAACCCTGGGTGGTTCCGGTGGAGTCACGTTGTTCCTGGTGACAGCTACTGTGTTGTTCAGGGCATCCACGGAGACACAGTTGTATGACCCGTCCAATTTCTCCCGCTGATCCATCGGACGGACTCTGACCACGACGCGAACATTCTCGACGGTCGGAGCTGTCAGCTCCGCGTCCTATGACAAAATGGACAAAATTAGAACTCAAGTTATACCTAATGCTTCGACATTTTTCAAGATTTCGTTGTAGGGAGTGTATACTAGTTTTTTCTCTACGCTTTCTTTTTGGCGGCGCCATTTAGTCGACCAGGCAGATTGAGTTGACGCCGATGTCCATCAAGCACATATCTCCATCATAACAGGATTTGATATAGCACATCTTTCTAAAGGCCTACCTAGACTTATCACGTGAAAAATGCAATAAAATTTCGCCATTTTTGTAAACACACCTAAAACAAAGACCATTATGGGGCCAAGCTTCCTAACTTCTTCCTAAGTCATATAATTTCATCGCTATTTTAGGAATAGAATTTAAACAGACTCATACAACTGGTGTAGCTATGTCAGTAGCTACTACAACAAATATCGACGTATGAATACCTAAATCCTATGCAGATTTACGTCATATCCGCAATGCGTCATCTGAATGAACATTTTGATTTGTTAAATGACCACCTAGTGGCGCCTAGTAAGAGTCAAATCCTGTTAGTTTAATTTTCATTTTTGCGCTTCCAAGATGGCGCTGGTGAGAGGTAAGGACTAGCCGATACAAACAGCGTAGTGCTGTCACAATTTGAGGGACTTAAGTTTTTGAACTAAAAATAATTTATTTTTCAATAGACTTTTAACTAACTTAGATGAAAAATGATAGTGACCAAAGAAAATGACCAGTTTTCGGGACGAGACATAAAGCGATACCAGCGCCATGCGCCAAGGAATAGAAAAGTAAATATTTTTAGAGCAACAGAGACAATTTCTTGTCAAGGGGAGAGTGATAAGTTTTAGAATTACATTGAAGCTGTGGTAAATGGGAATTTAAAAAAAATCACCATTACACTGCATCAGTTCCTTTTTAACTGCTCACCTGAATATTAGTAATCAACAGACCGTCTTGGACTCGCACACTAGAAAACTCACAACTGCTGTACCGGAGTTTAAGGATGACAATGAGGACCCCTTCCTCCAGTTGCGCAGTTAAAAAGACGTGAAAGAATTCACGAAATTAACATAACAAGAGATTATTTTCGTAGCTATTTTCATTTTTCTATTGTCAATGCTAAGTAAAACGCATTGCCTTTATAATTAAAATAAATGACCTTTGATTCTATATCTACATACTTCATATTCTCAAAGAATACATGTGCAAATGCATTTTAGACATTCTTCAAACAAAAATGAACTCTCGAACTTAGTTTTAAAATAGAATTTCTAATAATGGCGCAAATAGTAAAGGAAATGAGTTACATACAACAAAGATAGAACTTTAAACACATACAATAAGGTGTATTATACGAAACCAAGGTACAACTGCGCAATTGATGAACGCATAGATAAAAAATTATGCACACAAACAAGATTCTGTCTTAATATTCAAGGTTCGTTTTTTGCTTTTACATTTTTCAAGTACAATACTTGGTATGTTTGTACCACCTACACAAGTTTTTTTTTTGTGATGGGAAAATCGTCAAGTGACTTCTCCCGCCCAGGGCCGGGCGGGAGGGAGTGTCAGACTCTTACTGACTAAAACCCCCTGTTCCTTCTCCTGCTGTAGGCCGAGGCCGCGGTGCCTCATTGCGCTTACCCCGCAACCCCGGCTGAACATCAGCCCTATGGGGCCCCGTCTGTACCTACACAAGTTTGGAAATTCAATATCGAAAAAATTCGGATGACATTTCTATACTAAGGTAAAATTTGTAAGTTTGTATGTAGGAGGTAATCTTCGGAAACGCTGGCCGATTTTCAAAAAAATCTTCCACTGATAGATGGCTACAATCTTCCTGATTTCCATCTTCTTATATATAAAAATGGTACGCAAAATGTGTTGGTAAGCGCATAACTCAACAACGCCTGGACCAATTTTGCTAATTCTTTTTTGTTGTGTTTGCTATTGTCAGGAGAAGGTTCTTATCAAAGAAAATATTAGAAAAGTAAAGGGGAAGATTAGGAAAAAGTGACTTTTTGATAGCGAGACAATTGGACCCGTGCGAAGCGGGAGGCGAGCTGCTAGTAGGCTATAAAACATCCCACTATGATCAAATGAAACCGCGCAAGTGTAGCTAGTATTTGATAAATTCTTCTAGAATTTATGTTATTTTAACATAGGGTTGTCAGGTTTTAACGCCGCTTATATTTGAACTTGGCTAGATGCATATGCAGAATCCTACTAATATTAAAACTGTGAAAGTTTGTGAGGATGTATCATTGCATATTTGTTATTCTTTAAAAAGTCCAAAATAGCTGAACCAATTCGGTTGAAATTTGGTATGTAGTTAGGTGATATCCGGGCGAAGGGGCGAAAGCTAGTAAATAATAATTTGTTGTTAAATTGATTTGAAATAATTGAAATGAATTTTGTTTTTGTTATAATAGGGTTGGCATTTAGCCATTATCTCCCCTGCCTATGTAGGCATGCCTGGGTAGGCATCCTATGCACTCAAGCCTTGAAGACACCCATAGAGAACTAAGGAACCCCTTAGCAGTTCTTATGATAAAACTGGAGGTGAATTCTTTCTTGTGTGTATATCCACAGGGAAGTTTACATATACCTAGTAGATTATTTTGCTAAAGGCTAGTTACTATTTCAATTGTTTAGGAAAAATATTGACAAGATTCAATATTTTTATTTATTATAAGAAGATATACAAAAGATATTCAACAATACAAGTTAAGTTACTTTTACTACATAAAATACTTTTCATGTGCTATTTTAAAGAACACAACTTTAAAATAACACAAAAAATATCACTAAAATTTTTGTACATTAGTGAAATTCAAAGTGCTAAATAAAAAAATCTTATGGCCACACCAGAGCAGAGATTAGAAACATTGTAAAGAGAAAATGTTTACATTTTTGTACAAATCATGAGCTTACATCATAATGTTAGCACACCTATGTTGTCATGGTAACGCAAACAATGTAGCTGTAACTGTGGTGTTGCAATCAATTAAAAAAAACTGTGGTTTTATTTAACCTCCATGGAGTGAGTAATGTAACCTATTTGGTTTTCTTTATTAACCTTATTCTACAGAAAAAGTTATCAATTAACTTTAATGCAGAAAGATAAGTATTGTATATGTAACAAGATCCCTAACACAGCACAAAATGCTGTGTGGGGTAATATTTATATATTCAACGCCTCTTTATAATGAATCTACATGATGTTATAAATGTATATTTAAAGTAAAGAAACTAAAAGTTAGTGATAAAACCTTTACAAAGATTAGAACAATGCAAAGCAGTTTATTGAATTAAGTTTGGATAAAAATGATGATTGAAACATTTAACTTCTAGAACAAATGGATACTATGGCTTGAAGAATGATACAATGGATCAGAAGAAATGGCAAATAATGTAGAAGAAACAAACAAAGTTCAGTTTGCAAATGCATTTTTCAGGAACAGAAAAGGAAAATAAGATTCTGTGAGGAATCTTCTAGAAAATTGTATAAGTACAGTCCTATGAAAAAGATAAGTGGGAAGCTAAGGATTGGAATCAAGGCTGTATGAACTACATGGTTGAGTATTTTACGTTACAAACGAGATTATTTATACATTTACAGCATGGCAGTTGTAGAATCGTAAGACACGCCCATACTTACACATAATATGCATGTATTTCTATGGGACGCAATACAACGCGTAGAGGATTGGTTAAAGAAGGTTATAATGTGAATCTAATAAGAATATGAGTAATAATTAGCCAAAAATAAAAATTACGCTTATAGGTTATGAATTAAGTGTGTACAAGCGAATATTTCTGAGTGTAGCGTCTAAAAATATCGATAACGCGGGCGCCACACGTTCCGTTGCGCGTCCAAAATTTCAAATTTTACCAACCTAAGATTAAACGTATTCACACTTTTTTCAGCGCAAAAGCCAATTTGAGAAGAAAATATTGAAGCAGATGGCCGAATTCGTAACGAAATAGTAAATGCGTAATTTCGTAAGTACCTGAGCACGATGAAGACAGTGACCCTGACACAAATTGAATCATGACTCACCAACTTAACAAGCGCGTTTGCATTAGAATGAGACTAGATTAGACGTAATTAACGATTTCAAACAATGAAAAATTAGTAAAGAGCCAAAAATAACTAAAATCGATAAATTCTAATAGGAATCTCGTATACCGGAAATCACATGATAACGTGGTACTTACAGGCATATTTATTTGTTGTTTTATCTGGTTTCAGGAATTCATGAAGCTTGTAGCGTTCAACGATGCGGAGCTGCGCCTTTTGTTTGAAGGATATTGCAAAAATCAATACTGACGACCTAGATTCCCGTTTCAATTTCCTTTGGCGAACGGAATAGAAATGACATGACGTCTTCATCCAAAGTTGCCATTGCATCGGTTCATAAAACTACTATTTCAAAAAATCAATACCAAACTTCCGGAAGTTTTAATTGAGATATTATTCTATGGAAAGCAATAGTGGGAACCAAGTTAATGATAAATAGCAAGGCTATTTTTTAAATATCAGTTTTTATAGGAATAAAATATTTGTTTCATAGAATTACTTCAAAAATATTTAAAGAGTTAATGATTGATTTGACTTCAAACTTTAGTTTTGGTTTCCATAAAATCATTAAAGCTTTGCATATTATATTATTTGTAAAGTCATATCGATATAAATTAAATTTAAACATATATACTAAAATTAAGAAGATAAATACTGTTCTTATTTCATCCTTAGAACATGAAAAAAATCTTTCTAAAATCCAGCACAGCAGAAGAATAAGATAATGGTACATGATACAAAAAATCTGTTTTCATGTTATTTTCATTTAACAATACATAATCTAAATAAAAACGTTTTTAACTACATTTGAATACTACCAAAACTCATGTTTTTTTGTATTCGGTAATATTTTCAACAGATAAAAAAGTCTTACTTTTTTAAACCCTATAGTACAAAACAGACACATAAAAGCAACAAAAATAATAAATATTATACAGAAGTTATTCCTCATATTTAGTTAAGTGAAATATGAAATTTATTTCATTTTTCAATTATGGCTTATAGATACATTTTATCAAATTGCAACACTTACATAATAAAAAAATATGTCACTGGCCACAAATAATAAGTAACGTCAAACACTGCTGATGTTTATTTTTATCAGAAAATTATCAATAATTTAATTGCTTCATGGCTAACTCGTTCATGATTATAAAATTAAATAAATTAGATGTTAAACAGCAAGTGTTATAAGCAAAAATGTCGACGGAATCGGAAGAAAACGGGATCCATATTGAGTCTGTCGACGTCAGTGAAAAAGTGAAAGAAAATGGTATAACAGTGGGAGAAAATATTTGTGATTCCGGTTTGGATACTTTAGACACTAGTTCTGCTGCATTCCCAGCTTCTGATTCCGATATTTCTCCGATTAAAAATATTACAAGCGATGATCTGGGTCATGGATCTTCGACTGGGAGTCTGTCCCACGAGAACAGTCTTTCAAGCTCAGGGTCTGAAGACGGTGCCACAGACAACTTAAATTTCGAACTCCCCCAACAAACACATACAGATTTCGCCAAAGAATTGATAATAAACTGTATAGACAGCATTAATATTAGTGAACCAGAAGAAAAATGTAACGAAAACCAACAAATAAATGATTTAAAACAGCAAGAATGTTATGACAAAGGCAATAGGAACCTGACTACTTCGACCGTGAGTTTGGACGATACTCAGTGTACTGACAACAACATTATCTCCAAATCCCCATTCAGCAGAAGTGCTGAAAATATAACAAATATCACTATTGACAATAAAAACGAAAAAACTTGTCTAAATAGCAGCGACAAAGAATTGAACACAGACAAAATCCTCTCACAATTCTCTAGCCAAAAAACAAAAGCCAGTGCGGTACAGAAAATTCCAGAGAATGTTAATAACACAGATCCAAGGTACACAAGAATACCAAAAGAATTGCTTTCTCAAGACATTGGAAGTATAGTCAAGAATGTTCACGGAATATTTTCATCTGTTAGCGGTAGCTTGAAGAGTGCATACACACACCGAACAGTCTATGCACAGAAACCTCCAAAAACTACCAAAAACTTACCGAATGGTAAACTAATGAATGATATATTCGAAGATGAGAATACGGACACTAAAACAGACATGACGGAAAAACCAGAAACTATGGATTGCAAGGAAAATATTCCAAATTGTAAGACTCCGATTCCAAATTCTGTAGATTTGGTGCTTAAACCAACGGATTCGGATAATTTGGACACTAGCGATGCCAAGAAAGATGTTTTGCGGTTGCAAATAGAGTCGTTGGAAAGAGTTTTAGCAGAACAGAGAAAGGAGAATGCGTCTTTAAGAGACAGAGTGAAACAGCAATGTGATGAGTTGCAGCAAAAAGATCTGACGTTTAAAGAGTTGGAAGTGAAACTGGATATGGTGAGTGGAAACTTTGGATTAATATTCTTATATTATTTACGTATCATAATGTTATAGCAAGATATTACAGAATTGGCTTACTGATAGTACAATAATGTAACGTAAAGTAAATATAATATCATGAAAACGAATTAAAACACAGATTTAATCTGGCCCTTAAAATATATGAGCTAAACTAACGAACACCGGCGTTCACACACCTATTGTCTTACTATTGTGTCTTGAATTACCACAGTTGAAAGGTTAGTTAAAAAATCAACAACATTCCTAAATGAAACATTTACACTATAGACTATATCTTGGTTGAAAGAGGTTTAAACACTTTGGCACTATGCAGGAATGTGGCCTTGGATAAACACATAATGTTTATTTATCCCCATCATCATGAGCCAATTAAAGCCCACTGGCTAAGCAAAGGCTTCATCTGAAACAGAAAATGTATGAGAATACTACTCAATTGGAATTAAAAGTCCAGGTTTCCTCACGATCGAGAGACGATCTCCGGCGACCGTAAGCGCGGGTCTGCGGACGGCGAGTAACGGTTGCCCGCCGCCCGACTAGAACTAGACGCGAGCGTATGGCGTGTAGTGTTCCGCGGGCACCTCAAAGATCCAATAGACCACCACAGGCCCTAGCTAGCCCTGTAGGGCCCCTCTATATGGCTAATGTTCAGCCAGCTCTGCCTAAAGTAGGAGAAGGAACGAGGAGTTTTAGTCAGTAAGAGACTGCCACTCTCTCCGACCTTACCTACCCTTGGCGTAGAAGCCATTTAATGATTTCCCCTGACAAAAAAAATCATCATCACAATGTTTTCCTTACATTTTCGATGTGTGTTGGGAATGTTGCTAATATAATTCGGTATAATTAACTGTGGACGATCCCAGGTTTTGGGACCCTAGTCCTTATGCATTAGCGCTATAATATGACGCAACCCCGGCTTGAGGGAGAAGAAGGAACGAGATTATTCTTTGTCAGCAAGAGATTGACACTCCTTCTCGCTCCACTTGATTAGCATTTTGATGATTTTCTCCCCTGAAAAAAGGTCTTTTTTATGAGAAGCAAGTGCCTTAAACTTGAGCTACTGTGTCTCGATATTGTTATATTTATACCCTGCGGATTTTTATAATTCTCAATGCCATTAATTAAGGTTTTTAAGGTAGGCAAGTTTTTAAGTGTGGGAGAGCCATGCTTCGGCACGAATGGGTCGGCTCGACCGGAGTGATACCACGGCCTCACAGAAGACCGGCGTGAAACAACCACAGCGTTGTGTTTCGCAAAAAAAAAAAACCATCAGGTAACCCGTCTGCTCGTTTGCCGACCTATTAAATAAAAAAAAAAAAATTATAGGTAAACTTACTTGACATTAATATTTTGTAATTATTCAAAATTTATTAACGTACACGTTATTTTTGGAGTCGAAGTTATTATTATGTACCTACTTATTTTTGGAAATCGAATTGAGAACCTCCTCCTTTTTTTAAGTCGGTTAAAAAGGGTCTAAAATAAAACTCAGTATGGCAGACACTCTAAAGTGGCAATAGGCCGGACACATATACCTAAAGGACTGGAGGCTGATAGACCAGAAAGGTGCTCGAATGGCAACCGCAGACTGAAAGACGTTAGCACGGGCTGACAAACACAACAAAGAAAAAAAATATATTTCGTGTAGTGCGCTTGCCTACACATTTTGCGTCATGTTATGGTGATTCTTAATGCCTGTAGCACACCTCCGCTGCGAAACCGCCGCGTCAGTTTCGCTGTGCAACAGTAGGTACTTCACTTATGCGAAACTATAATAGCGAAACAGAGGGAAACCTATTAATAAGTACAAAACAGGTCTATTTCTCACTGCTTGTATAAGTTTTTCAGTAAATTCCGAATCCATAGTTCCTACTTCGCTCATAAAAATGTCGATTGCTACAGATGCGTCCGAGATACACGCAAAACCGCTCCAAAATGGCAAACAACGGGCGGAGATGTCGACGGTGCCTAAGCAAATGAGCGAAATCATGTTAGAAAGAGACAACATCATAGTTAGTCAGTTTTACGTTAGAACAGGGAATTTCGCAATTGTTTTGCCGCCCAACAACTTACAGCGAAACTATGGCGGTTTCGCCCTTATACCTATTAACGCGGATAACGTAATGATAATAGCATGCCTCTAAGATTCTCTTCTTTGTCGTGTGTCAATTTACAAGCATACAAGTTCACATACACATCACAACTGGACACGGAACGACAATCTGTGGATCACACAGAAAATTGGGTAGTTTTCCACGTCGAAAATAAATTATTTTGGCTTTTTAGTACAATCATTTTTTTAAATATAACTATTGAATAAGTTACCGATATAAGTAATTTTAGATATGTTTTTCATAGAAAAGTATAATTTTTGCCATTTCAATAAAAGTAGGTATTGAATTTGACTAGTAATTTGGAACGTTGGAAACTACCGTATTTTTTTTTATGTAATAGCTCGGCAAACGAGCAGACGGATTAGGTACCTGATGGTAAGCAATCAGCGCCGCCCATGGACACTTGTAACGGAGGAGTTACGAGTGCGTTTCCGACCTTTTAGGGATTAGGGATTTGGAGATTTAGGGATTGAGGAGGGATTGAGAAGGGGTTGGGGAAGGGGAAGGATTGGGCCTCCGGTAACCTCACTCACACGGCGAAACACAACGCTGTGGTTATTTCACGCCGGTTTTCTGTGAGGCCGTGGTATCACTCCGGTCGAGCCGACCCATTCGTGCCGAAGCATGGCTCTCCCACACTTACCGTGCGAGAATCAAATCTGCGATACTTTGCATTGCAGCTAACCAAAATATGATTACGTCTAGTAGTTACGGGGGTAAGCAGAACGCAAAGAAATATTTTGACTAAAAATTAATATTAATTTTTCTAACTTCAGATGGGAAAACGGGTCGATCACGCAGAACGGGAGAAGGATGCAGCCGTAATGCGGTACGCCAGTGTCGAATGTGCCGCTATTGAGGCTAAGAGGGCGGCGGAAAATGCTGCCAAGGCCGAAAAGGCTGCCCAGGCTGAAGTGGAACTCCTAAACGGGAAACTCAAGTCCGCGGCCGCCGAGAAACATAGGATCTGTCAGCTGTATGATGATAAGGTACCAGTATTTATTTATTTATTCATTAAAAAGGTACATTTTAAGTTTTACGGTGTAAAAAAATGTCCGACAAAACTATACCTACACATAATTTGTCTGTCGGATCAAAATTATTACTAAGTTTACAATATCATTTATTTTGTAAAAAATATTTTTTATAATATAATATTTTGAAAAATGGCAATGGACATTGTGTTAGTTAAGTATGGGAGAGCAATGCTTCGGCACGAATGGCGGGGCCCATTTAGCAGCGTGACGCTACACTAAGGTTGTGTTTCGCCGTGTGATTGAGGTTACCGGAGGCCCAATCCTTCCCTCCCCGACCCTCCTCAAATCCCCTACCCTTAAATGCCAAATAACCCAAAAGAGGTTGGCAACGCACTTGGACTCCTTTGGTATTACGAGTGTCGCCGACGTATAATAAAATAAAAAAAAATATTATAACTTTCGTGAAACGTTCTAAATTAATTATCATGTTTTCGGCTTACTCACGTAATAATTTGACGAGATACTCGACTAGTTTCAAGCCATGCTAGAGGCCCATATTCCTTATAATTATATAAGGCCGCGACAGTCGCCAAGTCGCGTGTCGCGGAATGCTGCTCATGAATATATATGAATAAGCCGAAAATGTAATAATTAAAATAAAATTAATTGAAGAATTCATTGTCTAGATTTTTTTTCTCACAGCTATGCCAAGTTCATAATATTGGGTGCCTGAACTAGGAAAACTTGTGTTTCAGGCGAAAGTTGGTGAAAAGATATTATACATTGTTAAATAATGATAATTGTTTTTAAATAAAGGAAATAATGCTACATTTTATATAAAAAATACAGGATAAAACGATACTTAAACTCTATGTTTAATTGAAATTCAAATTAAAACAAACAAAAAAACATTAGGTACTACACTACTACAGTTTTGAAAGTATTAGAAACAGGGTGGAAAGTTCCTCATCCTCCATTGAAAAGGGAGGATACTCCGACCAGATGGGTGTTGTGTCTGGAGGGCTACTGCCCGACAGTGCTAATCTGTTGAAAACTCTTGTATCGCGATGTAGAATCTTGCACGTGATTGGTGCTGTTGTTACTGTAGATATACCGATAGATGTCGCTATACAGTTATTTAAGAACTTTGCCTTAAAAAGGGGGAAATATTATGTTAAAATGTTTTTCAAATTACGGTGAACCTTTCCAGTGCCACGAGCTAATGGTCAGTGAGCGAGAGCTGGCTAAAGTCCGGGAAGATATTCGCGAGTTGGACGGCCGGCTCAAATGGACGCAGAGCAAACTGAGAGTTGAAATGGATGCTTATAAGGTACGTGTTTGGTTTGTGTGGAGAAAATCATCTAATCGAGGTAGTTTCCTAGGTCATAAAAAAATCGACATTTCAATACAATAAAATATAGAAAAATAACAATACATACTTTTATTCATCGAGCGGTCGATACACTAAGTTTTAGATATTTTGTAGCTAATTATTAAGAAATAAGTAAGCTATTTGACGCAAAAATACTATGACGTCATAACTCAGTTTTTCATAGAAAAGTATCGTTTTTGACATTTGGATAAAAGTATTGAATTTGACTAGTTGGAAACTACCGTATTACTTCTAATGACGTAAGTGGCGGGCCGAGGTCACGGTACCATATTGCGCTTACCCCGCAACCCCGGCTGAACATCAGCCCTATAGGGCCCCGTCTGTGGTGGTCTACTGGCTCTTTGAGGCGCGCATGGAACGCAACGCACTGTACGCTCGAATACTAGTCGGTTCCCTGATCTATACAATAATGTAGCAATATGTCCGCTAACGCTAATTTTATTTTATTCATCGATCGATTGATACATTAAGTTTTAGATATTTTGTAGCTAATTATTAAGAAATAAGTAAGCTATTTGATGCCAAATTACTACTTGTATGACGTCATAACTCAGTTTTTCATATAAATTTTAATAGAAAAATATCGTTTTTGACATTTGGATAAAAGTATTGAATTTGACTAGTTGGAAACTACCGTATTACCAATGTAAATTGTTCCGACTTATATGTACTTTCTATGATTATTTAGACATTTCTGACCTAGGTAAGTTGGGAAAACTCTAATTATAAGTTTGAAACTGCCAATTCGCCTTGAGCAAGCATGGTGATTAATGCTCAAACCTTCTCAATGTGAGAAGCTCGGCAGTGGCCTGATACCTAGAAGCTGATGATGTGATCAAATATTTGCAGGAGGCCTTAGAGAAGTCAGAGAAGCTGGCCCAGCAAGTGACGGAGTTGGAAGGCGCGCGGGAGACTGCCGTCGCCAACGCTACGGACTCTGCCAGAGCTAAACAACTAGGTACTTTATTATTATTAATTTGTTTGTTCTTTTCTTTCACGGGACCACAGGGTCTCGGACTTTTAGAAGGCGTACGAGGGGCCAAAGCCAACTCGCAGAGGCCCTTTGAACAACTTTGATATAAGTGAAATGGGACATCAGCCGGCAATTATCCCTGTATGCACTAGGAAAGTGCACCCAAGGACAGTCCCCGGTTAGTGTAGGACTATTGCGGATAATGGAAACAAGGGATGAGGCTATGGGCGTGGGTTGTTATGGACTGGTATGATGGGTACTATGGGAGGACTATGGCACCTGCCGGAACAATGTAATGTATACATGTAAAAATGGCAGGTGGAGACTCGCCAACTCACCGACTGTTGCCCCCGGGAATGGTTGCTAGTAATAGCAACAGAGGGACAACGGAAATTATCATTATTATTTTATGGAAAATTTGCCTCAGACTAGGATTTTCTCCTGTGTCGTGGATGCGGTTACAAACATACAATTTCACAAACACATCACACCCAGATCCGGAACAACAATTCCGGGATTGTTTCTCTTGTATTCAAATGATGGGAGCGAAGCCACGGGCAAGAGGTAGTTGTAACTTGTAGCATAAAATAAAATAATCTTATTGTGGTTTATTTATTTATTAATAACTTTATGCACAAAACAAATGTACAAAGGTGGGCTTAATGCCATGGGCATTCTCTGACAGCCAAACCTTTGGATGATGTAGAAATAAATTCAAAGGTGCACAAAACAAGCGTCATCAGAGACGTTATAAGTACATAGATTTACATAAATATGTACTATAGTTCGTTCCAAAATTAGAGACAACGATTTGACAACAGCAAATGTCAAACTACAAAATAATGTGGCCAGATTTTTCAACATAGTGATGGGCCCGAGTACGATCTTTTAAATAAAATACCGATACCGTTTTTTTACAAAATACTTAGGGTATTTTGTAATAAAAATAAAACAACGTTGCGGTTATGTTTTTTATAGTTTAGTCGAATTAATAATAATAATTAAAAATAAAAATGCGAAATCCAAGACTGGCTAAAAGAAAAACATAGGTATATTTGAGGAACCTATGCTGAAAGCCGAGCTGTTGGAGATTTCCCGGAAAGAGAAGAGTAATTATGAACGATACGTCGTGGACTGATGGCTGCTAAAAGGGGGGGGGACACTAAAAATAATAAAGCTTTTAAAATGCACGAAGTCCAGAATTTAATTTTGGTCTTTCGCTCAATACCGGTCGCAGGACTTCACTATTTATGAAATGGAAAAAACTTGCAACACTCGAAATGTCAAATCGTTGTCTCTAATTATGGAACGAACTATATACTGTATTATATGTTATATATACAGCAATAATACAATTACATATACTACCTACTTAAAAGTATACATATTTTGCTATTTGATGTCATGATCACGATACCTCTGCCAACCTCTTCAAAAGCAACTCCCGAACCTTTTGCTTGAACGCCCAACCATTCGACACCATACTGACACTGATTTATTAGTGATTAAAAAATTTCCTTTATACAGAAACGGAATTGAAGGAGAGTCGAGCGGCCCTGATCCTCTGTCGACACGAACGCGACGAATTAGAACGAAAACTGACAACCCTAACTCAACAGTTGGACACCTGTACGAAGGAAAGAGACACAGCTACTGCCTCTCTCGCTCGCACCACAGCTGAGGTGAGTGACGTCATCAGTTTTTTGTTTTACCTTTTGTATAAAGTGGTTAATGATTATGTGAGCTGCCTCAGCGCTGCCCAACGACAACTGAAATAAAAGTTGTTAATGTTAGTTGTTGTAATATTAGTGGCCAAAATAAGTACTATTTTGTAGAAACTATAGTCAGAATTTTAATTCGATTCCTGATTTGACATGACCTACTGTCATTTTGTGAAATAATGATACCACATATAACAGTGTAGTGATGAACACAAAAATCGATAAACAATCAGTAAATCGGTTTCAGGAAGGCATTCAAAAAATTACGGCTACCGAATGGTCTAAATGCGTATCCCATGTTGTCAAAGAAGAGGAAAAAATTAGTAAGCTTATGTTGATTGACAATAAATATCAAAGACACAATTCTTAATAAATGTTACAGAAAGTAACAGCGATAGCGATAGCGATGACGGCGACAATTTATAAAAATAGAATATGAAATTGTCATGTTCCTTCATGATTACATTTTTTATTAATTAAACACACAATTACAAAAGAAAAGTCTCAGATCTTTAATTATTTGTCAAAACTAAATTATCTGTTCAGAAATATTTTATTTCCTGATAAACTTAGTTTACGAGGGTAAATTTATAAACGAGAGGAATCGATTCAGAAATATTCGATTTCCATATCGAATAATTTCGCAACGTTACTATTTAGTACGTGTCATAACGTTGCAACACTGAAATTGTCAAATCTGGAATGGAATTAAAATTCCGAGTATAGATCTTAACTCAGAAATAAAACAATGAATACTTGAATATTGTACGTTATAATTATAATTATTCAAAATAAGTATCTTAATGTTGAGTTCAACACAGTTCGAATTCCCGCCATCCCGCCGAATCTGACCATAACTATTAAATTAGTCCAACCGGGGTTGCGGGGTAAGCGCAATGAGGCACCGCGACCTCGGCCTTGACCAGGAGAAGGAACAGGGGGGTTTTAGTCAGTAAGAGTCTGACACTCCCTCCCGCCGGACCCTAGGCGGGAGAAGTCATTTGATGATTTTCCCCTCACAAAAAAAAACTAATTAATTAGTCGACTATTACTTAGTGTCGGGTATGACTTTTATATAATGAAATACAAGACTGTTTACTTGTCTATGACAGTGACAGATACCTGTCACTTTACAAATAACAACAATACGGTAGTTTCCAACTAGTCAAATTCAATACTTTTATCCAAACGTCAAAAACGACACTTTTCTATGAAATTTGTATGAAAAAATGAGCTATGACGTCATAACTTTTTTGCGTCAAATAGCTTACTTATTTCTTAATCTTATATATAAAAATGGATCGCAAAATGTGTTGGTAAGCGCATAACTCAACAACGCTTGGACCAATTTTGCTGATTCTTTTTTTGTTGTGTTTGTTATTGTCAGGAGAAGGTTCTTTTTTTTTATGTAATAAATCGGCAAACGAGCAGACGGATTACCTGATGGTAAGCAATCAGCGCCGCCCATGGACACTCGCAACAGAGGAGTTACAAGTGCGTTGCCGACCTTTTAGGGATTAGGGATTTGGAGATTTAGGGATTGAGGAGGGATTGGGGAAGGGGAAGGATTGGGCCTCCGGTAACCTCACTCACACGGCGAAACACAACGCAGTGGTTATTTCACGCCGGTTTTCTGTGAGGCCGTGGTATCACTCCGGTCGAGCCGACCCATTCGTGCCGAAGCATGGCTCTCCCACACTTTTTCTTTTCCTTTTTGGTTCTTTTTGGTTGTTCTTTGGTTCTTATCAAAATATAGGAAAAAGTGACCCTTTGATAGCGAGATAATTGGACCCGTGCGAAGCTGGGATGGGCCGCTAGTAATTAGCTAAAAAATCAAAAAATAAGTGTCTCGATCGATCGATGAATAAAAGTATAGTTATTTTTCAATATTTTATTGTATTGAAACGTCCAAATAATTTATTTTTGACCTAGGAAAGTACTCAATTGGACAATAATATTACAATAATACTAATAGCTTTAAAATTTGTCGTGTTTTGTGTTCAAACTAACATTAGTGTGATAGAGCCAAGCTTCGGCTCGAATGGGTCGGCTCGACCGGAGTGATACCACGGTCTCACAGAAAACCAACGTGAAATAACCACAGCGTTGTGTTTCGCAGTGTGAGTGAGGTTACCGGAGGCCCAATCCTTCCCCTCCCTCGATTCCTCCCCAATCCCTAATCCTTAAAAGGTCAACGCACTCGTAATTCCTCCGCTGCGGGTATCCATGGGCGGCGCTGATTGCTTACCATCAGGTAATCCGCCTGATCGTTTGCCGACCTATTACATAAAAAAGATAAACAAACGTACTCTTCAGCTTTATAATATTAGTATAGATATATTAAATCTTGGTGTTTATAACAGGTGGAAAAATTAAAAGAGAGTAATCTCCGCTTGGAGGAGGAAGCGGCGGAGTTGGCCGCGCTACGGGCTAAGGCAGCCCTAGCCGATACCCTCAGCGCTCAACTACAGAGGTAAGAATCGATTTCTTATCATCATCAGCCTATAAGTGCCCACTGCTGAGCAAAGGCCTCTTCTCACACGGAAAAGATTTGAGCACGTGTATCAAACGATGTTTTCCAAAGCACTTCTTAATAAAATAATACTTAAATAAAAAACTTCAGAAGAGAAAACGAGACGAGTTGTAAAAAATGTTTCGTAATGGCGGGAAAATTTATAACATTTCCTATGCGCGCGCATCGGCCATAGACTAACTAATGAGCTATTCCGTATAACATTTTAGTTATAGCAAACAATAATTAAAACAAAACTCTTTTACTCACTTTTGAATAATATAGTATTGATAAAGTCAAAGTTGATCATTACGTGCCTTAGTGCCTTGGGATTAGAGCCATTTTGTGAGGAAGTGTGTTGGAAAATGTATATTTTATTTGTATAGGGAGTCGGAACGCGCGTCTCAAGCGGAGGAGGCGCTGGCAGTGGAGCGAGGCGTGGCGGAGACATGCGGGCGACGCGAGGCCGCCGCGCTAGAGCACGCCGCCTCCCTCACCGCCGCCCATGTCGCGCTCTCCGCCGCGCATAGTCGCCGGGACGCTGAGGTATCTCATACATACGTAACATTCGCACATACGAACATACGTGCATACGCACATACGCAACTACTCACCTACGCATATACGCACATACGTACATACGAATATATTCAACTTCTCACTTACGTACATACGCACCTACTCACCTACGCGCCTACAGATATACGCTTCTACTCACCTACGCGCCTACAGATATACACTTCTACTCACCTACGCGCCTACGAACATACGCACCTACTCGCCTACGCGCCTACGGACATACGCACCTACGGACATAGGCATCTGCTCACCTACGCGCCTACGAACATACGCACCTACTCGCCTACGCGCCTACGGACATACGCACCTACGGACATAGGCATCTGCTCACCTACGCGCCTACGAACATACGCACCTACTCGCCTACGCGCCTACGGACATAGGCATCTGCTCACCTACGCGCCTACGAACATACGCACCTACTCGCCTACGCGCCTACGGACATACGCACCTACGGACATAGGCATCTGCTCACCTACGCGCCTACGAACATACGCACCTACTCGCCTACGCGCCTACGGACATAGGCATCTGCTCACCTACGCGCCTACGAACATACGCACCTACTCGCCTACGCGCCTACGGACATACGCACCTACGGACATAGGCATCTGCTCACCTACGCGCCTACGAACATACGCACCTACTCGCCTACGCGCCTACGGACATACGCACCTACGGACATAGGCATCTGCTCACCTACGCGCCTACGAACATACGCACCTACTCGCCTACGCGCCTACGGACATACGCACCTACGGACATAGGCATCTGCTCACCTACGCGCCTACGGACATACGAACCTACTCGCCTACGCGCCTACGGACATACGCACCTACGGACATAGGCATCTGCTCACCTACGCGCCTACGAACATACGCACCTACTCGCCTACGCGCCTACGGACATACGCACCTACGGACATAGGCATCTGCTCACCTACGCGCCTAAGGACGTACGCACCTACTCACCTACGTCAGTCATCAGTGTGGGTAGTGCTGAAAATCAGAGCTTTGGACTCGAGCCTTCGTGCCCGGGCCAAAGCAATTAACTAAGCACTGACTATTTTAAGCTGGATGACATTATATTTTATATTATTATTTTTTTAATTTTTTCTTGTTATTTATTTATTGTCACGGTGCAAATTAACTGTATCTATTCCATTTTTTTTTTTCATAAATAAATAATATACTCAGAATCTCTTAATTTCAGGCTCGAGCCCTCACCGTGGACAATGCGTCACTCCGGGAGCAGGTGGCCTCGTTAGAGATAGAATGTGCAAGGTTACAGACTGCCCTCACGGAGGAGACAGAGAGGAGGAACAAGGAGAACAGGGTGCTCGCGAGAAAGGTATACCTGAATTTATAACTATCACACATCACATACGACGGCTGACCAAAGGCCTCTTCTCACACGGAGAAGATTTGAGCATTATGATATATGACGGAGGAACTGTCTCGGTTCCGTTTTTAAAAAGTGTGACGTCAGCACAGCTGACGTCACTGACACTATCTTCGCGGTGATCACTCATCCTCAATCTTCTTAGTAAAACACCACAAGTATACTTGCAAGTCTCGTTTATTCAACCGACAGCGTAACGACGTATTTACATAGGTCCGTACAGTTCGGCGGCTCGAGCAAGACTGCCCTAGCACGCTTTGTGCGGCTGTATTTATAGTGTGGCAAGCACGTGTACATAATTTTTAGGTTAAGTATTGAATTATTTACATTACAAGCTTTCTACATTGCAATAATCAAACAATATTAATTAATTGCTTATGAACTAGTGTTGGCACAATCAAATTATTAAACTAATTAATTAACTGTTGATTCTTGTAATTGACTAATTATCGTTATTGCGCCGATACGGCCATACTGACAGGCGGTGCGAGCTCTGCACCAGCCTCGTTGATTGTTGTTCTTATTTGTACCTGCAACAATAGATTAGACTTCTTTTGAGTCGGATATCTGTGAGCAACTTGTGTTGCTTATGTTAGTTATTACACCAACACACAATGCCTTTTATGGTTAGTGATATCAGTATTAATGAGGTAGTAGGGTCTCGTAGGGTTCTCGGAGTGTCTCGGAGGTTCTCGAAGGTTCTCGTGGGTTCTCGTAGATTCTCGTAGGTTCTCGTAGATACATATGTTTCATGGAAATCTTTGAAGTTACTGGTATTGAATTTAGTTACTTACAGTTTATTCTGGTGAATTGTTTTCACCCTGTAGCTCGTGGTTTTCTGGGTCTCGTGAAGTCGAAGGGATGGGCTCAAATGCAGCAGACTCCTGATGACCTGGTGATCCATTTCCCGCCGATACGGTCAACTGTTCACCGGGTTGTGGTGCGCGGCGCAGCTGATCATGAGCTACCTTGCGAGGTCGCCCCCTGCCGACCACCTTCTTCACCAAATAGCGGTCATTTTCTAGTACTCTAGACACTTCATAAGGTTCACTAAATTTAAGGTCGAGTGATGTTTGATTGCGAGGATTATTCTTAATCAACACATAGTCTCCTATTTGGAAATGATGAATTTTGGCTTTATGTTGATTAAATCGTTGTCTGTCTTGTTCGCTTGAACGAGACATTTTCTGTAATACCTGTTGAGAAAGTGCCTCGATATCTACGGTTTCAGTATCGATGTTCACTATGCTGAGGAGCTCAGAAGGTACACAATGCTTCCGTTGTGTAATAAGTGTCAACGGAGCAACTCCAGTAACACGATGAGTTGTACAGTTCATTGCTAGTTGTAGTTCCTCAAGTGTAGTGTGCCACTGCTCTGTTTTGTAGTTTTTAATCATCACCAATGCATTTTTGAGAGTTGCAACAACCCTCTCTACTTGACCATTCGCTCGGCTAACTCCTGGGGCTATGGCGTGAATATTTATTCCAGCGTGGTCACAATAGTCTTTAAACTCACCAAGGAACTCTCTGCCTCCATCGACTATTATTTGAATTGGTGCACCGAATAGATGTACAGTGCGTTTCAGAGCGGCTAGTGTACTGTGTGGATTCTTGTTGCTAGAGAAGTAGAACAGAACATATTTTGAGAAAGCATCAATGGTGACTATAACGTACTGTTGATCATCTGGAGTTCCCAGCTTCCCAGTTATATCCATATGAATAACTTGAAAAGCCGCTGACGGCTTTTCTATTGGGTGCAGTTGGGCTTGAATGGCACCAGATCTTCCCTTTGATGTTCGGCATATCACACAGTTGTCCACAAATCTTCGAATAGTAGAACTCATTTTATCGAACCAATAAGTTTCTCTGATCTTCTGTAATGTCTTTTCCCAACCAGGATGTTTCAGTACGGTGTGAAAAGAGTTAATAATACTCCATTGGAATGCCTTGGGGACGACTGTGCTAAGCTGTTGACCAAAAACTGGATCGTTAACTTGTTTCTTTAAGACGTTATCTTCCAAGACGTAGCCCTCCACTGAATTGCCACCGCTAAGACTGTCCATTATAGGTCGCAGTTGATCATCACGCCGCTGTTCAATCTTGAGCCAATTCATGTCTCTTGTCATAACATTGACTGCAAATTCAGTCGGGTTTCTGCTGAAAAAGTCAGCGTGTTGGAGACGTTCACCTTTGCGGTACTCAATTTCAAAGTCGTAGTTTTGCAAGAAAGCCCACCAACGATGAATCCTCGGCAAAAGGTCCTTCTTGTGTTTGGACGCCTTCAATGCATTGCAGTCCGTTATCACCGTAAATTTTCGTCCATACAAATATTGGCGAAAATGTTTTATAGCTCGCACCACTGCTAATGTTTCCAACTCATAGGAGTGGTAACGACTTTCTGCTTCGGTGGTCCTCATGCTCATAAATGCAACTGCATGTTGACGTCCGTTGATCACCTGTACCAGTACTGCACCATACCCAAGGCTGCTAGCATCCGTATACAGTTGTATGGGAGCATCTTCTTGGAATAATGTCAGCACTGGGGTAGACGTTAAGTATTCGATGATTGTGTTACGCGCTTTTTCGTGATTGTCTGTCCATGTCCATTTTGCACCTTGTTTCGTCAGTTCATACAATGGTAACATTATACGTGAAAAGTCAGGGATATATTTCCTGAAGTATCCCGCTAGTCCATTGAACTGCCTCACTTGTTTTACAGTTTTAGGTACTGGAGCTTTGACGAGAGCTTCCACTTTTCGTGGGCTTGGTCGTACTTGTCCGTCAGAAACTATGTTTCCGAGGTATTCTATGGATCGTTTGAAAAAACTGCATTTGTCAGCATTTATAGAAAAGCCAGCCTCTTGCAGCGCTATCAGAATCCTCTCCAGGTGTGATATTCCTTCTGGGAAATCTGTGCATTTGGACAGCACATCATCCACGTAGACCTGCGCAGCTGTCCCCAGCAATGACGTCAGGGCTCTGTTGATGCATCGCTGGTAAACCGAACAAGCATTACTCAAACCAAACGGCATGGTAAGGTATTCATATAGCCCATCTGGTGTAACGAAGGCGGTCTTCTCTATTGAGGTTTCAGCGATAGGAATCTGATGAAAACCAGCTGCCATATCCAGACTTGTGTAAAAATGGCCATTTGCCAGCTGGTCAATCTGGTCGGAAATCAATGGAAGTGGATAGTGATCACGTAGAGTATTCGAGTTAAGTTCTCGAAAGTCAACGCAGAGACGATCATCGCCATTCTTCTTTTTGACCAAGATAATAGGGCTTGAATAAGGTGATTTGCTTTCACGTATGATATTGTGTTCTAATAATTCTTGAATTATGGTACGAACTTTCTCCCTTTCCAATGGACTGAGGCGATATGGTCTTCTTTCGACAAATTTATCTGGGTTTTTCAGTCTGATTTCCAGTTCTCCTGTGTTCACCCGAGTTTTAGGATATCCACGGATAAATAAATGCTCGTATTTGTTCAGAAGTCCACGTAATTGTGAGATTTCATCTTCGCTGGTTAGATCACAATCCAAATGATTAAAAATAGGAGAATTTGTACATACCAGATTGATGATTGTGTTGTGAACTAGCTTCGTTCCGTGGGGTGTAATTATCACATTCAGATTGGTATCATGAATCAGGTTCATTCCCACTAAAATATCTGTTGACATTTCATAATCAGGTAACACATGAAACTCCAGCTCAATATTTATGGTATCTATGACGCATATAGTTGTAAGCTTGGTTAACGATAGCGCTGGAAATTGACCAATTCCTTTCAAATAGTTAACTGCTGAGCTCCTTTGACCTGGTAGAACCATAGCAACTGATTCTCGCATTATTGAACATTCAGCCCCACTATCGAACACAGCTTGCAATGTCTTTCCTCCTATTTTAATGAAAATAGGAGCCAGCTTATTGCTTCCTACGTAATTTACATTTGAAGTCAACGAACGTTCCCGTTTGAAGCAAGTTTCATAACTGTGGCCCGGTTTCTTGCAATAGGTGCACGTAGGTATGGTTTGTGCTTTAGGGTCCTTGTTACCAGTTTCGGGTTTAGCCTCCGGAGGTTTAAATCTGCAATCGTTAGTTGAGTGGTTTGTCTTTTTACATATGCGGCAGCTAGATGTTGATGGTTGACTGTCTGCAAATCGTGAACGCTTGTTAGGCATTGTGGAATTTGAGCTTGGGTGAGAACGTTTTTTCCTTATAGATGTTGCCACTGAAATCAGTTCAGGAACAGTGGTTGCTCTGGCATTCAGTAACTCGATGCGTAATCGTTCATCATTAACGCATCCAATCACTGCCTCCACTGCGTGCTCATCTCCCAACTTGTCCTTGGTGACTCTTCTCCATAGGATCCATGCCCGCGACAAGAACTCGGCAATGTCCTTTGAGGAATCATAAACATGTTCCCTGAACATAGCAATGTCTCTGGAGTATCTGTTCTCAGGTTCGAATGTAGTGATGAGGTTCTTTCGCAACTCTTCCCAGGTACTACTGTTCACCATCCAATCGTCGACCCACATTTTAGCACGGCCCTTCAGCAGGCTGCAGACTTTCATACGAACATCGAAATCACTCAGTTTATATGCTTCAATGGCTTGATCTATATGTTGACACCACTCACGTACTCCGACATGAGTATCCGGGTCGAATGATGGCAGGTAAATGTCTTTGATCCTTATTTTTGATTCAGTAGGCGGAGCGCACAAACGCTCTGACATTCTCTGCATCATCTCCATCATCTGCATCAGGAATTGTGGTGGTATTCCATCCATCCGCATCCCTTGATCATGGTATGTATGTGGTCTTGATTGAGATATGGCTTCCGTTGATGCGTTGGAGACCAATACAGGCTCCCGACGCTGGTTGTTGGCTGGTTCCAGTTGCTCAGGTGGTAAACGAGCTGATGAGGAAGTGGTGTGAGTAGAGACCTCCTGTGATCCCACTTCTGATGACGGAGGAACTGTCTCGGTTCCGTTTTTAAAAAGTGTGACGTCAGCACAGCTGACGTCACTGACACTATCTTCGCGGTGATCACTCATCCTCAATCTTCTTAGTAAAACACCACAAGTATACTTGCAAGTCTCGTTTATTCAACCGACAGCGTAACGACGTATTTACATAGGTCCGTACAGTTCGGCGGCTCGAGCAAGACTGCCCTAGCACGCTTTGTGCGGCTGTATTTATAGTGTGGCAAGCACGTGTACATAATTTTTAGGTTAAGTATTGAATTATTTACATTACAAGCTTTCTACATTGCAATAATCAAACAATATTAATTAATTGCTTATGAACTAGTGTTGGCACAATCAAATTATTAAACTAATTAATTAACTGTTGATTCTTGTAATTGACTAATTATCGTTATTGCGCCGATATATATGATAATTAGAAATTGCTAGCAATGTAATGTTATATATCCTCCACGTCTTACAGGTGGCGGAGCTGACAGAAGAAGTATCAGAAGCGAATAAGAAGTTGGAGTGGGAGAAGGGGGAGAATAATGTTCTCAAGAAGAAACATGCTAGTGCCATAAAAGTAAGCTATATCCAAACTAATATTATAAATGCGAAAGTAACTCTGTCTGTCTGTTTGTCTTTTCTTCACACCTAAACTACTGAACCGACTTCTGTGAAATTTGGTACAGACATAGTTTGGAACTCGAGAAACGACATAGGATAGTTTTTATACCAAAAATCTGCAGGACTTGCCACTATTCCACGCGAACGGAGACACGTAGTGTTTCTTTTTATTTGTTTATTTATTTTTCTTTTTATATATTTGTTTATTTTCAACATTACTGTTTAACATGTAGTTTTCTGCACTTTTTGAGTCGGTGTGCCAAATAAATAATATTATTGTTTAATTATTTTAAAACTTTGAAATGGCTTGACGAACTTGATGGATTTTGAAATAGTCGCAAAAGTTTAGGAAAGTTTTAAACTGCAATAAAATAATCGAAATGAACACGCGTGTTGAGGATATTCAATAACATACGACTCACCTCTATATTAGTTTTGTTTTAGCTTTTTAGCGCTTAAAATCCGTCGCTACCCGAATCTGTTAACATGTAGTGGTTGGGCGTGCGGCAGTAATAAAAAATACAGTACGGTCGACGTATCTTGGCGAGTCTGAAGTTAGCCGTTTGTCTGCGCAATGGATCTTTTAGGAACCAAATTGTGTACTGCACAGCTAATCGGCTAACTTCAGACTCGTCAAGATACATTGACGGTATAGTACGTGAGATGTTTAAGGAGGTGACGGGGTTGACTCAAATCTCATCTAATCTCACGTTGGAGAGAGGGGCGAATATATTTATTTATTTATTTATTTATCATATTAACAGTAAATACAGGATAATCTCTCAAAATAGCAACCAAAAACCACTACGGCCTTATTACAAAACAAGGTTTTACTTTAGTCCAGGACTAAACCATTGAGCCAGCTTTCGTATTTCGAATTGAAGGTAGATGACAATAAGATTCAAAATTCAAAAGCCGACTCAATGGTTTAAGCCTGGACTAAAGATAAACCTTGTTTTGTAATAAGGGGGTTAAGGTTTAATTTTTGCTATCATGAATCTATCAATCAAAAATAATCAATCTGCAAACATATTGGAACGAGAATATTACCTTGCTGCAACACAGTTTTTGACTAGCACGGGAGGTAAAGAATTTTTTTCTTGTACACCGTCAATGGACATTTATAATTCCTTCTGTTAATTCGCCATAGGTGTTGGATGGAGTTCCTCGTGGCTACAAAATCTAATATACAGGGTGTAAGGGACAGCCTTCCGCAAACTGATAGGGTGGATTCAGTATATCGTCTTAAGTTGACCGGTACATGAAATTATTTCAGGAACGTTATGGGAATCCAATTAAACCGATTTGTTTCATTACCTTACACGCAATGTATCGCTACCACCGCAAACGCACGCAGCGAACGGCAGCGCTTTTAGTATTATTACTTTGCACTATGGGCAGCGCCGCGACCTTACCTTTCGGACAAACGGTCGCGCTCGCGCCACGTTTTAATAACATACAATAAATTATTATTTAAAAGATAGCCGCATTACTTACAAAAGACAATTTAATAATCGCGCTCGCGCCACGTTTTAATAACAATAAATTATTATTTAAAAGATAGTTTAGTCATTACTAACAAAAGAAAATCTAACAATCATAACACGGTAACTGATAAATGATAAAAAAAGAAAAATGCGTAGGTACCTTAGAATCGCTCCGGTTTCCAGCTCTGGAAAGCATTTGTGATGCGGTCTCGCATTTCGTACTCACTTGCACACGCACTCACAAACACTTTTTTTTTACGTAACCCCACAAAAAGGGGTCCAAATGGGTTAGGTCTGGGGATCGTGCTGGCCACGGTTGCGGTCCAAACCTACCTAAACTGCGTTTAAATAGGAAAGCACTGGTAAGTGGTAGCGTCTCGTTACGTTAGCGAACCAATTCCAAAATCCACGTAGGTATTGGTCTTCCGGCGCCTTTTTGTCTGGGAACAATGGGCTGGTTTTCTAGCAAGCGTTGATAGTCACCAGTAATTATCCTGGAGTCTGATGGATGCCGACGGTCAGGATACCTACACTACTACAACAAATTATCATCTCCCCATAATCACGCGCGCTAAACGTACCTAGGTAGTAATTTCGCACAATTTCTACAACAAAACTTCACTACACTTCACACACTACATAACTAATAAAACAACACTATAACAACACCAAGGTAATAATATCTACAAGTATTTCAACTTCATAGAAACGGCCGAAACGCGAACTATACCTACGCGCCCGATGTCGGGACGCGCTCGGGACGCAGACAGACGCGGCTGTACCGCAGTGACGAACGGACGGTGTGTTGTCTTTTATTTAGAAATCAGCTCGAGTACATTATTTAATATGACGAATAGGAAATATTGTGCTGTTATTATTGTGACGGAAAAGTGGTTCAAACTCTTTGACATCATGACGTCAATGGATGGTTGTCAAACGTTGCCTAGAGATTGTAAATTTCGTCGTGAATTGTCAACACGAATTGGTGTAATCGGTAAGGCATGTGGATTACACCACAGAGACCCCGAGTTCGAGTCCCGCCGTAAACATGAAGTTTTTTTAGTTGATAGAAGTTTTGTCGAACTTTCTGGAATTATTTGTGTGAAAGAGATGAAAAATTAAAGAGCGAGAAGGAGAATAAATAAAAATGAATAACGAAATTATTGGAAGGTTCTGGAGGCATGACGATCAAAAAGAATAACGAAATTGAATGTTCCAGAACCTGACCGGGGGTATATAAGCGGAACTGCGGCTCACCGCTGGCAGTTGAGTTCTAAGTCCAAAGCGATTCGGAAGAAAAGAGAAGAAGTGAAAAAGAAGAAAAGTGAGTGAAATAGTGCAGTGCAGTGAAATAGTGAAGTGCAGTGAGTTAAGTGAAAGTCAGCGTGAACAGTGAGCGGCAAACGGAAGTTTGTGTCAGTCGCCCGGACTCTGCTGGAGAGGAACGCCGATAACTTAACTCCGAGGGCGCTGTCATCTAAGTGCAATAGAAAGTCTAAAACCGGTATTAGTGTTTTATTTCATCCAATCCCGTAACCCAAGCCCGCATAGTCAGAAACGTGACGTCAGGCTCGTAACATTTGGTGTCAGAAGTGGGATTGGAGAAAAATGCCGCTAGTGCCGCAGGACGTAAGAGGAGTGAGTACCCGTGCAATTTCACAAGCGCAGCGAGTGAGGGAAGATGGTGCTGCAGCTCAAACCAGCGATGCAGAAGCCAAGCCTGTGCAGGTGGATCTTCTGCTACAGCTGCAGCAAATGATGGTAGAGCAAGCGCGCCGCCAAGAAGAACAACTACGGGAGCTGAAAGAAGATCAAGCTCGTCGCCAAGAGGAGCAAGCTCGTCGCCAAGAGGAGCAAGCACGCTGTCAGGCAGAACAGCTACGGGAGCAAGCACGCTGTCAGGCAGAACAGCTTCGGGAGCAAGCACGCTGTCAGGCGGAGCAGCTACGGGAGCTGAAAGAAGATCAAGCTCGTCGCCAAGAGGAGCAAGCGCGTCGCTTGGAAGACATGCATAAAGATTTCACGAAGGGACTGCAAAAGGCTGTCGAACGGGTACAAGAAGTGGAGGAAGGGTTAGGCAAGTTGGAACATCGCGTCATGGCGATAGAGGAGAGAGTGGAAGAAGAGATCGCCAAAATCAAGCAGGAAGTGACAAGCCCAAGCCCTTTGAAGAGCCGAAGCCGTCTTGCAGCCGTTTTTGACGCCCCACATGTGGCCTCAAGCGCAACGAAAGGGCTCAAGATTCCCCATTACGACGGAACAACATCCTGGACCGCGTTCAAGCTACAGTTTGAGACTTATGGAGGCTTATGGTTGGACTCAGAAGGAAGCACAGTCAGCCCTCACCCTGGCCCTCCGTGATCAAGCGCTCTCAGTGCTGGAAGCTATCGGCGCAAGTGGGGATCTCAGCTTTAGTGCCCTCCTCGACGCACTTGAGGCACGTTTTGGAGACAGCCACCTCGAACACGTGTACAGAGCGCAATTAAAAGAGCGTACTCAGCGTGCTAATGAGAGTCTACAGCAATGGTCCGTGGAAATCGAAAAACTTGTGCGTCGACCTTTCCGGTCGACTCCGTCAATGATTGAAGGCACGCTTCTCCAAGCATTCATTGACGGTGTTCGGGACCCCGAAGTACGAGCTGCTGTTCATCTGGGCCATCACAAGAACATGAAAGAAGCTCTGGCCCATGCATTGGAAGTGGAAGCCGTGCGTGGTAACTCCCGTACCTTACGTCTGCGGGAAATGACGACAACGGAGCAGGTACCTCCACGCCGTCGGAACTTCGTGTGCTATGGATGCGGAGAGCGTGGGCACATCCGGAGCAACTGCCCGAAGAAGGTGAACCGCCAGGACGCGGCGGTCTCAACTTCTGACCAGCAGGGAAACTAAATCCAGCCAGGGCTGCGGGGTGGGCGCTGGCCGGTAGTGGAATAACCCCAACAATCTACATCAAGCAAACTAACGATGGAAATACTCTGGTGATAGACGGTCAAGTAAATGGGAAAAACAGTCAGCTAACATTAGATACTGGAGCTTCAAGGACGGTGATAAATGTTCGGCTGCTCGGGCAAAACATCAGGAAACACGTTAAACCAATTGTTGCCCTACGAATGAAATCAGCTACCGGCCAGTGCATACCGATAAGTGGAAAACTGCATGTAACAATCAAAATTGGGGAACGTGTTTATCGACATGAGGTTATTGTGGCCAAAATTCTGGATGACTGCATCCTGGGACTTGACTTCCTGCAAGGGCACCAGTGTAACATCGACTTAAAATCTGGAGTATTACTATGTGGAACTGAGGAAATTCCGATGAAGGGTGGAACCCTGGGAAAAGTTTGCTGTTTAAGAAGAACTGTTCTTGAACCAAAATCACAGACTCTCGTACCAATCGCATTACCTAGAAGGAGGGAAGGAAGTTTACCTCGAAGGTGCGCTGTGATTGATAAATCGGAACACGTAAACT